TCACCGCGCCCCCCCCCCCCCCCCCGCCCCACGCCCCTTCCTCCTCTCCCTCTCTGTTGCTATCGAACCGGTCACTCAAATCAATGCATGATGGTTCTCGTCTCTCATGTCATCTTTACTCTGTTGCGCGCAAGAGTGGAGGAAGGATTTTACTAAAGATAAGAGATTTCTTTTTATATATAAGTATATTTGGAGAATATTAAGAGTTGAAGCATTTAGAGAGTCAGCAGAGGCGTCCAATAACGTTGGCAGATCTCTTTTTCTGGAACATGGGAATTTCAGATTTGCGGAGAGCTTGTGATTTTTTTTTTAATTACTCAGTGTCTCTTCCACAGCACATGTATATCATGTACATACTGTATGTCTATATTTATCATAAGACGGAGTGCATGTGTCTTCACCAACGGTGCGCACACTTTAGCATCGACAGGCAGTATTATGTAGCTTAGCTTCCAACTGTGATATGAATGAGAAATGAGAGTCAGAGGTGACTGTGAGGTTTACTGGGATTTTATTGCTATATGATGTTTCACTGAGAAAAAGAAGGCCTAAGATCCCATATGGATTTTGTTAGTATCTATTTGCATTTTTTTTTTCTTTTTTTTTTCTTTTTTTTAATTTGTACATATGATGTTCCTCCATGACGTTGTTTTATTTATTTATTTTTACTCTTATGATTGTGCTTTTACATTGATTTCATTGTTGGAACGACCGTGGTCCAGTTTACAGTGACGGAGAGAGGGAGAATCGATTTAGAATTTGTGGTTTTTCGTTAAAGCAACAAAACAAAAACAAAAAAAAAGAAAACAAATGAAATTCTTGTGAAATAAGTCCCATAATGCATCTGATCAATGGCACGAGTAGCACATATGGTTTGAGTTTAAAAAGCGTGGCTGTGCACTTGGTCTGACTGTGAGTACTTGTACTGCGCGTGTGCAGATGCACTGTATGCTCGATGCTAGGTTTTACAGTATTACCATGTCGTGCGGTTTCTTGATTTGTACGTATTTTAACGTTCTTTATCGACGAGGAGTAAAGTAACTGGTCTCTATATTGCATGTTCCTGCAAACCAGATGACGACAACGTTCACAAGCGCACGGCGGCTGTGTCTCTTTGTAGCTCTGCAGCTTCCTCAGCACCTCCAAACGCCCTTCCCCATCCACTTTTTTTTTCCAACGACAGACAGGGATAATTCACTAAGGGCTCGTTCATCACTCTTCGGCCAAATGCTTTTAGAACCCAGATCAGTCTGCTCATACATGTGGCATGCGCGGGAAGTGTTTAACTTTGCCTAGTTTAAGGAATTTTTGGAACAATCTCACGTCAGCCATTTTGATTCTCTATTCCGAAACGTCGTATGAAAACTTCTTAGGTCTGACTTCCAACCAACACTGCATCACAAACGCCATCTTCCTGCACATGTAAACAGTCACTGGCTGCAGCAGTGTCACTTACTACCATAGAAGTGTGATTTAAAGCATGTGTCGCCACCTTCTGTCTGAGAATAAACACACTTCTGTCTGTGAAATTAGAAACAACTGGGCTCCAAGAAGAGAAGCTAATGCTGAATTAAAACAGAGTTACAATTAGCTAAATGCCTATCTTTATTTTAGCATTTTTAAATAATGGGCGCATTTAGACAAGTTTCGTCAGTTCTACTACATAAAGGTAATAATTTAATGAATTTGTCTTAAGTATTTACCAAGCTTTGCTTCAATAATATTGTTCTCTTCAAATCCATTTTAAAAGTTCTTCTTTTAAACATGGCTGTTTAGTGTAATGTTAAACAGTATATTAAAGCATAGGGAATATGGTGTATGTAATAGTATAATAAGTTGTACAATTACCACTATTTAGTTTTCCTTTTTTTAAAAACTGCTTAAAGACAGTAGTTCTGCACACTACTTTGTGTACATACATATTAATAACATTCAAATAGTTAATGATAGGGTTTTTTTTCAAACTCTGAAGCCCAGTATTTTACTACATCACAGACTGAAATGTGTGCAACCGACTATAGTCTAGTAGTAGTAGAAGCAGCTGCACCCACGTGACACCAGACTGATCTGGGATACAGTTTTACAGGAGCTTCCTAACCAGCTGCGCCTCTGCTTCGGGGAATCCTATAATGTCACTGCCTTCTGCTGGTAGGATAAAGAACAACAGTTGCTGCCCCACAATAAAACAGAGAAACCCTTTTATATTCTCACTGCCTTCTGATGAACTGGCACGTTGTGTTGGATTTTAAAAAAAGCCCCTTTTTCCTTCCTTCCTTCCTTCCTTCCTTCCTTCCTTCCTTCCTTCCTTCCTTCTTTCCATCCTTCCCTGGCCTCTCTTTGTCCCTTCCTGTTTTTCTGTTGCATGAAAACCTCACAAGAGGATGCCATGTTTGTTCTGTTGAATCTGAAATTTAAATATATGTGTTTTGAATCCACTTGTGTGACTGGCATCTCTGAATTTTTCAGGATATCAACGTGTGTAGCTGAAGTGTGTGTGTGTGTGTGTGTGTTGTAAGTCTGTGTGTAACCAGTCCTACCCGTCAGGTCACTGCTGCTGAATTCATTTTCTCTTTTAGTCCCAGTTCAGTTTCGCTTGAAATAAAAGAAGGGTGAGAGTTTTTTTTTTCAAATAAAATCTTTATTTGTTTATGAAAATAAATAGATTCAGCCGTTAACAGTTTCTCTTAAAAGTAGTTTTTCTAGATTTGATCTAAATGAGTTCATTCAATTCCCCGCAGTGTGTGTGTTTTCTTATCTCATTCATTCACTTATACAATACAGACAGGAAGTGCGTAAAAAATGACTTTTTATGTAAACAACTCGCAATGTAATCTGATTTCAATGTTGATCATTTAACCTAGCACAGCACTGACAGTATAAAAGACACAACAATTACATTAATCAGATTAAAAATTCAGTTCCACTTCATGGTTTAAAAAAAAAAAATACTGAACAGTAAAGTCCCGTCTCGATGGCTAAAAACTGTAACGTCCAGTACTTTGAAGCCTCAGTCTTTCAACCTTCATCTGACCTGTCAAATGTGGCTAAATCCAAAAGCTGTTTCTCTCCAGAGTTCCTCTCTCCAGCAGCTGATGTTCCTCTGGGGCTGTTTGCTGACCGCTGGGTCTCTTTTCTGTCCTCTCTCTGTTGGACCTTTCTGCGTACGGCTGGTACAGAGGTCGTCTCTCTGGAGGGGGAAGACTACGGTAGTGACGGGGAGGATTCTGCGAAGGCGGGGGAGCTCGGTGTTGCTGCTGATAATGCTGCTGCTGATAATGCTGCTTCTGATGATGATGTTGATGATGATGCTGTTGTCTTGGAGGTGCAGCTCTAAGTGTTGGAGCTTCAGTATTCCGTGTTGGAGGTTCAGTGTTGCTCCTGGGCTGTTCAGTATACCTAGAGGGTGCCGCTTCTATTCTCCTGATCTTCTCAAAAAAGAAAAAGAAAATTAGTAGTAGTAGTAAGTGTTTTAGCATTAAAGCTGAAAGCAGCATCTTACCGCTCTGCCATGGCGCTTGTGTGTCCTTCCGCTTGGGCAGCACGGCAGGCCCAGGAATCGAACACAGACGGCAAGGCACTGAGCGGAAAACACCATCTGCGTGACGCAGGTCACGATCAGGGGCAGCCACAGGATCAGGGTGGTACTCTGGGCACGGACGGAGAACAGGGTTAGCATCTTTAGCTACCAGAAGGAACGGTACTTTTTAGAGCGAGAGTGCTCGGCAGTGGAAACAGAGAGTGGGTGTTGATGATCTGATACACATCACACAGAGCAGAGAACCATGGGAATTTTAATACCCACAGTGAGTGTCAGGGTGAAACGGCTCAGGGAGTCAAGAGCCTTTTGTTGGGAAGTGTTTAGTCACTCTTATGTGTCGGGAAAGAACAACTTACGTAGATACGCGTGGGGTCAAACGGACACTCGTTGGTGATGCTGGAGTAACCTATGGCGTCGGGGAAGCGGCAGTGAGTTAGGAGGCTCTTCCCCCCGTGAATGATGGCCCTCACCATCGATACAAGGAGGCCGACGGCTGAAGCCGCCGCCGTGACTGACGCCGCCAGGCTGAATGTGAAGAGCGACCACGTCTGTCGGACAGAATGCAGTGAGAACCTTATAGAAACAGCCAAAGTCAGAAAGACACTGGAGGCCACAGTTTATCTAATGTTACTCTTTGAATATGACACATTACTTTTGATAAGGATAAAAATAACAGATCAGACATCACAGCACCTCCAGCCCAGTATGATTACCATCTACAGCCAGAAGTGCTGTGATTAGCATATGGCCCTGCCCTTGTCTAGTCCTCAGCTGTCCACGGAAACAAAGGGAATCTGGGTGGGGTTTTTGTCGTTACAGGTGTCGTAAGGACTTGTAATTCTGTTCAACTGCACTGTCTGCCTCATTAGTCAGCCGACAACTGACTAAATAAAGATTAAGGAAAAGTCATGCTGCATTACTGCCACGGGTGGGGTAAAACAAAAGAAGACTTTTCCAGCTCTGCAGGGTAGAGGTCAAGACACCTGTCTATACAGAAGCTAAAAAAGACCATCAGAATTCATGGAGTGGGCCGGTTTTGACCCACGGTCTGTATGTTTGACACCCCTGATATAGACTGACAAATGGAAATCTGGGTGTAAGAATGTCATAGAAGGGAGGGAGTAGGGATGTGTTTGGAAAGTCAGATATTTAAATTATTCAAATGAAGCAGTAGAATGAGAAGTGGTACCAACCAGGCCTCTTTTCTTTTTGTTTTTGGACAACACAATAGCCAGAATGCCAACGACGACGCCCTGCAGGGGAATAATGTAAAACCGAAACAAAATGAACAAAACAACTGTACAAAAAAATGAACTGATTTAGTTGTTTGTAAATGTTTGACATGTTTCTTCTGTTTACTTGAAAGACAAGCCGTCATTCCAATCATTTTGTGTTTTGGTGTGGGTGTGTGTGTGTTCTGATTGTTTTGACAGGCATGTCAAAACTGTTTGTTTTTACTGATTGCACATATGATTGAGTTTTGGAACTGCTCCGTAGTGCGATGCAGTCACAGACTCACCAGCAGGCCAGAGGTGAGGGCCACCACGTTAGAGATAGCGTACTCCATGGCCCTGGCCTGCTTATGAAGGTTAATGTGTCTCAGAACCACACCATGTACCAGCGCTCCTAACAGGAAGTTGACATGACCAATGAGGACCATGGTCAGACCCATTTTCATCAGGGCCTGTGGTTCCTCCAGGTCTGAACAACACAATCCTGATGAGAGCACAAAAAAAAAAAAACTGTTGTTAAAGATGCTGCAGTAAATCATCAGGAATTACAAACATTTTAGAGTTGCAGTGATGTGATTTCATTTCAAACTCCAGTCCAGTGCAGTTAGCATTGATCCTCAACTCACAAGAGCGAGGTCAAAGACACCAGAGATGTTACCCGCATTAATGATTAGCTGCTGAGCACATAACTACAGCACAGCCTGTCCACACTGAAACTCCATCCGACAGATCTAATTTTAATGGAGTCACTTCATAATGAAGTTTTCTTTGTGTCAATTATTTATCTGAGTTTCACAACGCATTCTGTATTGCACTCACAATTTGGAACATTAATGCAACCAGCCTCTGTATACACAGGGGACACTGGATACTTTTGGAAAGTACCGCAGTGATTTTGTTCTTGCTGTAAATGTTTTGGCTAAATTCGAGAACATGAGTCATGTAAAATCAAATTATACACACCTACACTTTAATATTTTTTTAATGTAGAAACTCTCTGTGTTTAACTTATGAGTCAGTTTTTGCACAAACACAAATCCACCTTGATCCGACCTCTGCTCTTTTGGTGGCACCCTTTGTTTAAGTCTTTACACAGGTGCACAGAGATGACAATTAGGATTTGAACACACGCTCCGACAAAAGATGTTGGCGATGACATGGTGAGAACTCTCCTACGATAGTGTAAAATGTCAGCTTCAATTTTGATATAATAATAATAATAATAATAATAGCTTTTAATTAAGACTAATTTACCAAATGTGTGACATCATCTGAAAAGTGAATAGATCATAGTTTTTTAATAAATAATTCAAAGCTAATAGAAGAAACTGGACATGTTTACATCATCAATACTGGTTCTCAAGAGGTCACCATGACTTCCATATTGGTATTCACTGATTTTCTAGCAAAGATTTTGTTTGAGTGAGGAAAATAAACCTCAGTGACTTTTTTTTTTTTTAACATTTGATCTGATGTTAAACTGCAAGAGCTGCAGCTGATAATCTCCAATGATATCAAATAGTAGTTCATCATCTCCACACAGGTGTGCCACGGCCGGCACCTACCGCACCCACCCAAACAAACAAACTTTCACACAAACAAACTGCAAGTGCAAACTTTACCACCTCTCCTGCGATTTTATTACCTGTGCCAGGCATGTTTGTCAGGTCACCATCCGTTTACACTGATCGTCACTGCGGACACACTCAGCTGGTCCTCCGACGTCTACGGAGCAAGACAAACCAGTCTGACACTGTGTATTATGAACACACGGAGACACGCACTGTACACGAAACTTCTGCCCAGGCCCTTCAAAATAAGACGCAATCTGATCCCAAAAGAAGGTGACTAGTCCAAGCAATGTCGCCCAATAAAGGTAATGTTATATTATGGTGTGTATTTTATTATTATTAATAATAATAATAATAATAAGGTAAATAATAATAAGAAAAATACGCTTGTTCTGGAAATTATATTCAGTAGTTCAACGAATATATGATTATGTTGTTTTTCAGTATTTTTATGATTTTATTTTTAGAACAGAGCATACTTTTTAATGTTTGTTGTTTGTCGTCTGTGTGACATTTTCTGCCACTGCTGCGCACCATGTTGTATTGCTGTTATGAAACAAAACGGCAAAAACAACAAAAGCTATTCTATTCTATTCTGATAATATATTATATAACGACGTGGAGCGTTTAATGCTTTTATTCTGAAATTAAATGTTCTCGTCGGACTGTGGAGGTTTGACATCTCTGCAGAAGACAGCCACAGGTGTGATGAATACGGAAATACGGTGTCATATGGAGCAGGCTTTTTTTTTTTTTTTTTAATAACATACCCGATCAGAGCTGTGGTGAAATCACAAAGAATACAGTGACAGTAGGTAAAGGGTTGCGGGCATCACCGCTGTTGCCTAAGCAAAACAAATCTTTGGGAAAAACGGATTATTCTAAATTATAAATATTTGCAATATAATCACGTTTTTAATAGGTAAACCTGTAAATGTTGAACATTAACATCTTTGGTTTCTGCAAGTGTTATTAAGGTTTTCAACACAATTGTTAAAAAACTGTGTTGTTTTCTCAGAAAACTTACTGTAGCTAAAAGGGAATGTTGAGTTGCATGTTTCCAAACATACAGTACTGTGCAAAAGTTTCAGTCAGAGCCCCTCTATTTCTAGTCAACATTTTTTTATATACAAAGAGAGACACTTAAAAAGGCACTATATAGTAAATGTATTCCCCCTACATGAGCAGTACTGTGAAGTATTATTTATTCTTTTTACAAACATTTTTGTTAAATACTTAAATGCATTATTGTATGTTTAAACCATGACCATGACTTATTTCTTTTATCTGTATACATACATTAGTTTGTAGTCTAAGGTGACAGGTATTGTCATAAACTGGTCTGGTCTGGTTTTGCTCAAAGGTTAAAGGTCACCATTTGGCTCCTTTCTTCAGACAGCAACATTCTGCGTATATTCTACATGTTTTTATGTCACTACTCATGTGTTTAGACTGCCTTCTACTTTTTAACCTAATTTCAGCTCTGTCTCTTCATGTAAACTCAGAAGAAAATGAGAAATTTGAATACTGATTTGAATTAAACAGCAGTGCCGTTTCAGTGTTGTACAGATGAACGATTAATATAAACGTAACCTTATAAATTAATTTTTTTTTAAACTGCAAAATTGCAAAACTACACCATAACAGTGCTGGACTTGAAGTACTAAAGACATTACTGTTTCATGGATATAAAATTGGATTACAGTACTACCATGATCAAACTGTTTAGTGTAATGGTACTTTAGTGCCATCAGGTGGAGAAATGGCGCCAGCAAACACAAGTGAGTATTTTTAGACTATAAAATCCATTGTTACTGTTTTGGATTTCTTTGTTTGGACAGTTGTTAGTAACATTTTTAAATGAGCTATTGCCAAAAGTATACGAAAAGTAAACAATCACTGCATCCTTGATATCAGTTTTTACATTTATTCATTATTAAGCAAGCAACATATGCTGAGGTGCAGTAAGAGTTACATGTATTCATTGGTGTTTAATATGGAATAACAGAAGATGGGTAAAATATGTGGCATATATATGACATTTTGACAGGACTAGATAGAGCTGAGAATGTAGTTAAAAGGGAAGAGAAGACTTGCATCCCTCATAGTTCAGGTCAGCGTGGGTCTTCCTGGACGAGGTGTGCACGCTGCCCTGGTGTTTGAGATTTGCCACACGAGATGCAATCAGGTACAATATCTCACAGATGTTAAGCACAATACATATAGCAGAAGCCCCTACCATGAAGTATGTGAAAACGGTTTTCTCGGTGGGTCGCGAAACGTAGCAGTTCACCAAATTAGGACAGGGGCTTACGTCACACTGGACTTTCCTGGGCAGCTTGAAACTGTCATAGATGTAGTGAAGCACGTAGAGAAACAGGACCTCGAAGGTTGTTTTGACAAACAGGCTCATCAGATAAGTCCACCAGAGACCACCGTGTTTTTGGCCGGGGTTTTTATACAGGCAGGACTTCTCACCATGCTTTGCCTTGTATTTGCGCTCCCGCTCTTGCCTGTAGGCTACGTGTAGCACGACCATGAATGAAGGGCAGGTGACGAAGATGAGCTGTAGGGCCCACAGCCTGATGTGGGAGATGGGGAAGAAGTAATCGTAGCAGATGTTGGTGCAACCGGGTTGTCGTGTGTTGCAGTCGAAGTTCCCTTGGTCATCGCTCCACACCCGCTCAGCAGCCACAACGTAGACCAGGAATCGAAACACGAACACCACAGAGAGCCAGATGCGTCCAAAGGCCGTGGAGTACTTGTTGACTCCACTGAGTAGACCTTGAAGGAAATTCCAATCCATGCTTTGCTGAATTTCTTCTTACCTGCAAGACTGGAATAACATAAATTATTATTATTATTATTGAACTTTATTGATCCCACATATGGTTAACAGCAGATTTGCTGCAACATGCGGCCCCTGGAGGCGCCAAGTATGTGGTTCCCCTGGGAATCGAACCCAAGACTCACTGCTCTGTGGATATTTAAAATACAGAAAAACAATCATTACCTATTTCAGACTTTTTGGTACTCACCTTAAAAACTCAAATGTTCAACTCAGTCGGTCATGTTCTGTTTTCACCTTAAAGGTCGTACGTCAAACCTCGAACACCTTCTTTTCTCCGCAGTTGTTCTTACACTGAGTGCATAGAAGAATAAACTCTTGCTCTTGACTCTGAAGGTGTGGCCACGCGTTGCATCCACCCTGACGTCCAATACCTTTAAAATCTTTAGCAGTTCATGACAAATATCACAATTAATTTAAGTGGTTTAACTTAAGAATCTGTGAATGTTGAATTTGAAACGGGAATATAAATCTTACTGACACCTCGGGTGACTGAACAAGGCGTCAGAAATGAAAATAAATATGCTTTGGTGTGATATATGACCTATAGGATAGATTGTTATCTCTCTCTCCATTGTGTGATTCTTTCAGTCTGCTCCCTACATTTGTCAGCGGGTGACTTGATATGACAGTGCCCCGAATGAATAAAAAGGTATAAGGCGTTGGTAAATCAATTCAACAGGGCCGCCACCTCTCATTTTCTGCAACTCCTGATCCTTGAGATACGCATAACTAATGTCCCAAAACAATACAGTAAAACCCCATTTTATCAGCCGAGAATGTACTACAGCTGGCACCGCCTTGTTAGTACACTATACACTCAGCTTTATGGTGCTTCCTTCAACAACTCTACACT